ACAAAAATTGGGAAATTGCAAATTGAAAACTCAAAAATAGATGTCAAACAAACATTGTCATGCAAAATGTTAGTATTGAATAACATGCTATATAAAGATGCACAAATATCACCATCACAGAGTGACATAAATGTTGTTAATTATTATTTAAAAGATAAACCAATCAATGTCTATCAAGGTGTTTTGTATAAAACAGTTAATTTTGCTTCAAAAAAATTAATAGAAGATGGCCACAATGAAGTTGAAGTGATTGAAAAATGCAGAATTTTACACAAAGTTAAAAAGATCATATTGTCACAAACAACTGAAGATTCACTGTGTGTGAGTGATGACTCTTTAATTTCAATTCTTAATGTTGGTGAATTTAAAAACACCTTACGATGTTGTCACAGCTTTTTTAATACCATCCAAAAAACCTCAACACAAAGTTTAAAATTTGCAACAAATGGAAAAGGCACAGTAGTTATTTTTAACAACAATTTGATACAACTTCCACTTTAAAATTCGTTTCAAAAATAGACATTTTCAAATGGGTAAAAGAAGCCATTATTGTCGAAATGATTCCAAGTGACAACAATTTAATTATCGTTGTTGACAAAAGTGGAATTATGTTCATCTTTAATAATCTTAATCAATTAACGCCAGTGACACATCAACTTAATTTTGGTACTAAAATAGTCAAAATTCACTTCATGAAAGCAAAGAAAATGGAAGATAAAAAATTCTTTGTTGTATTTGAAAATGGAAGAGTCGTTGAAATGATATACCGTATAACAAATCATTTAAATAAAATAGAAAAAATTAAAGACGTTTGCGATGGGTATTACTGTATTGTGAACGATTCACTATATGACGAAGACAACCAAATACTGTATTTAATTAGTCAGACATACATCCAAATTGTTTATATTAAAACTGGAGTATTGACTTATGTCCAAACGGATAAAGTTATTTCATCGTGCCTAGTTCATAATCATGGTATTGTTTTTATGACAGAAAATGCAAAAGTGTTTCATTTTAATAAAAACACAATTCAAGAAATCAAATTAAAAGGTGTTGAGAAAGCAAAACCAACAAGTGTCATATATGACCAAGACGGAGAATTGTTGTTCGGTTTTTCAATAAATTAATTTGACTTTATTATTTTAAAATTTTAAAATAGCGATAAAGTCAGTTTTAAAACATGTTTTTATTTATTAATTCAATTAAATTGATAAAATAAAAAAATAACAATTTTTAATTAAATTTTGAAAAGGGTAAATTTACTGTATATTATTATCGTTTACAATAACAATATCATTTATACAGTTTACAAACAATTACAATATAAATATTAAACTTATTATAATAAAATATTTGTTCATTTCAAATAATAAGATGAATAAATTATACACATTTGAGTCACAATCAGGACTTTTTAGGTTTTTTACTATAACATGCCGTTGTACAAAGATGTTTACCTGTAATTTATTTAATTAATACCCGTTATTCCAGTCTTTTTAAAACCTTTTTATTTTTCTTTACCACAAAAATACAGTCATGATTCGATATAAGGGAATACCGGGTACCAATGTTATTAGATATAAGGAAAAAAAATGAGGAATTGTATAATTAACAAATGAATACCTCGGTTTGTTTTTTGTCACAAAAAAATTTTGTTTATTTTTATTGTTTTAATAACCAAAATAAACACTTTGCCTATGTCTTGAAAACAATTGTCATATATATTTATCTTAAATAAATAATAAATTTTATAATAAATCAAAAAACAAATATATTAACACAATAAACATAATAAATAAAACTTTTGTATCTAACTTAGTTTCGACTTAAAAACTTCAAATAAATATGTTAAATTTTTTAGTTTTAATACAATCCAAAAGCGTTAAAACTAGAACATCATTGATGTTACGAAACAAAATAAAAATTATTGACTTAATTGATCTTTATCAAAATACACAGAAAGTAATCGAAGTTGTCAGACAACAACTGAAAAAAGTAATTTCTCCAAAGCAAGTTTATCATTTGCGTTCAATTTCAAAAGAAACAATGATAAACTTTCTATCCTCGTATAAACGAATAAGAAAACCACAGAACCCAGAACTTGAGGAAGCAATGATCAATTGGTTTCATGAAGTTGTTGAAGCGGGAATACCAATTGATTATTTTATCAAAAAACAAATTAAATTTGTTTTTGTTTATTAATACAAAAATAATAATAAAAATATAAAGACATGCGACATACTTGCAATAAGCGCCAACCTGCACTAGTCCATATAACAATTTAAAAAACAAAAAAACATAAAATTTATAACAAGAAAAAGAGAAAAAAACTCATTATTTTTTAAATCAAATTTCTTAAAGCAATTGAATCTTTGTTTTGACCAATAAAACACATTCTAAACTTGTAGAACCATCTTTTTGAATTTCTTTTTCATAAATCTATTCAAGAAAAATCACAAAACAACAAAACATCAAACGTATTTTTAAACCAAACATCATTTTAATAGTAATAATGGGCTAATAATTTATTAGAAAAACAATAAAAATGATGAGATATATTTTTTTCTCAAACACATCTTTTTAAAACACAATAAAATGACATATCATAACTCCAATCCATATGATTGTATTATAATGACACTTAAGCTTTAAACTTATGTTATAAGTGGTAATATAATGAGAATAAAATTTTTACTTAAAACATAACCCACGACAAAAAAATAACAACATGTGTCATTTAAAAAGACACATCTTTTTATAAGAATCTGAAAGTGTTTTTAATAGTATTTTAATTATTTTGGCTAAATAAACGGGATTATTCCAAAACTTATCGTGTTAATAAATACAAAACATAATTGGTAATTCCAAGACACTTAAAAACACTTGAATATTTAGCCCCGACTGACTACAACTTAATAATTGGTTTTATAAGAAGAATAATAAATAACAATAACATAATTATTAACATAAAACATGATAAAACATCATTTTGTGCTGATCATTTAATTAACAAAAATATAATGAATAATCACAATATTTGAGAGAAATTACAAAAAATAATAAAATATCATTGCTCATTTATTAAAAATATTAAAAAATTTATTAAAATAAAATAATAAACATGATAAAAAACATCAACCAAAAAGCGAACAAGAGACTCAGAACATAACAAATAAAAAATAATCGCCAT